CCCCCCCCCCCCCCCCCCCCCCCCCGGGAGCCGTTAGTCTCCCCCCGGCCCCCGCTGCGATACGGAGCCCCTCGCCGCGGCCTCGCTCCCTCCCGCAGCCCGGCCCGGGCCCTGGAACCCCGCTCTGGGCTGGCTGTGCGCTTCCCTTCGCCGCCTGAGCGGGGCGCTGTGCCGCGCGGCGGGGCCGGAAATTCCCCCTCCTTCACTCACACACCCCCCGGCCGCCGGGCCCCAGGCCTTCCCGGCGCTCCTCCTCCTCCTCTGCACACTCTCTCTCCGGCTGGGGTCCGCCTGCCGCCCGCCGGCCTCGCTCCCTCCGGGCAACCCTCCTCCCCAGGCTCTCCTATCACACATCCACGCGCCTAGCGCTGGGACCGCCCACCTCTCAGCCCGCGCCCCGCGCGGGCCCGCCCCTCCTCTCCGCCCTCCTCTTCCTCGTCCTTGCTAACGCTGCCGTCGGGGAAGGATTGATGTCCCTTCAGCATCATGCAGCCGCCGCCGAGGAAGGTAAGGGCGCAGCTGGGGGGCTCTGAGGGATCGGGGGGCTGCGTACGACGAACACGGCCAGCGCGACCGCTGCGCCCCCTCCCCCTTCCCGCAAGGGGCCGGGACCGCCCTCGCCTTGGGCTTGTCACTGAGTTGTTGCTGGCCCAAGTGGGGGGCCAGCGTGTGAGGTGCTCTTCTGACAGAGGGGCGACTGGCGCTTGTCCTCTTCACTGCACTGGAGGCCCCCCCAGACATTTCACAAGAGTTTCGGGTGTGCATTTGTGTGTGTGCGCGCGCATGGCAGTGCTGCCCGCTGCAAAGTGCATTCTCGGGGCTGCACCGGGGGGAGGCGGGGGAGCCCCTGCAGCTTTGCAGAGCCTTGTGCGTGTGTGATTGTTTAGTCTGCACCAGGTTTGAGCCCTCCAGCCGCTTGTCGTCACCCACGCCCTTCTGCAAATTTACGGGGCATTTATTTAAAACCTAGCTTTAGGTTTGGCCTGCTTTTCCCACGGGGAGATCGAAAAGAAGTTGGTAGAGCCACCTTCCCCCTCCCTGCCTCAGGGGAAAACAAATTAAGAATGAAGGGTCCTGCCTTTCTCCCCCACCCGCCGTCCCGCCCCACCCCCTGGCTAAGGGCCGGGGGAGGTGGTGTTGCCCCCAGGAAAGTGAGAACCTGGCGGTGCGTGGCGTGTGCATCGCGATCTAGGCTTGGATGGCCTGGGTGGGAGTGACGGGTGCTCCGGGCTTGTCAGCAGCTTCGCCGCTGTGCCCTTCCCCAGCTTTCCCAGGGGTCGATGCTGTGTCCTTGTCTTTTTAATCCTGCAGACGGATACTGAGTGTCTACTCTGGACACTGGGTGGAGGAGGCCGTTCTGTCCTCCCCTCGTGGGCAAACATTTGCTGAATGCCTAACTCACCCGTGTCTGCTGCTGCTTTCTCTTTCTTAATCCGGGTTTCTCCAGTTAAGTGAGTCTTTTTCTTTTGCTCACGTTATCCCATCCCTCCGGGTAGTCCCCAGCTAGCTCTGGCGGCTGAGATTCCAGACTGACCGTAACCTCGAACCCTGGGGTCCCAGCCTGGCAGGCGAGGCCCTGGCCAGCTGGCATTTGGTGTGCTCGCTGTTTGAAGTGGAGCCGCCACGGGACCGGCTTGCTGGGATAGTTTAAAAGCACTGCATATGCTAGAAGGTCACTTTTGCTTTCTCCTTTGTGAGAAAGAGATTGTGATTTGATGCGCTGTCAGCGAGTGGAGGGCATCATCCTGAGACAGTGTGCTTTCTCGCAGCCATTATGGAATTATTTATGTAGTTGATTCACGCATATCATTTCATGATTATGTACATTTCAGTCCCTAGATACTAGGTATTCTTATGCTCCCGTCTCTCATCTACACTCTAGTGGTTAGTGTTTTTGAATTCTTTTTGGAAGAAATAGAAGACAGGCTCTTTTAAAAACCTAGATAGGTCCTGAGCTTGTGCATGAAATGGAATGACTGGCAATTCATTTCGCAGCTGTTTAATGTGTAATCTTTACACTCATGTACTTTCGTTCAGCCTTGGTGCCAGATTATTTGACTAGTTTTTTCATTAAGTATCTGTAGTAAATAAGCCTTGATGATTAATAATAGATTTGTGGTCTTCAGGGGAGAGGTGAACAAGATGTCCAGTGTTACAAATATTAAGTAGTTTACTTAAGTAACTTTCTTTTGGTGAAAGTCAGAGGAAGGCCTTTAACAGCATTAAAATATGTGATGTATTTTAGGTAAAAGTTACACAAGAACTGAAAAACATTCAAGTTGAGCAGATGACAAAACTTCAAGCTAAACATCAAGCCGAATGTGATTTGCTGGAAGATATGAGGTAAGGTTATAGTAAATACTTGGAGAACTTCTCTATCTTTCAAAGAACCTTTGAGTTACCAAGCCCCAGGAACTGGTGATGGAATTTCCTTTTGGATTTCCTGCTTTTTAAGGCTGTTAGAACTTTGACTCAGCTGGAAATTATAACTGGAACTAACACAATACAAACTTCTTTTCCCTCACAGAGGGAACCTATAACACACACATACCAGTATGAAAAAACAGGAGCCTTGAAGGTCTTATCAGTCAGATTATAATCATTGAAATTATCCTTGTTTAAATAACCTGCCCATTGAATTGTAACATTTATTAGCCTAAATGATTTTGCTCAATTAAAATTTTAGGAGGGACCAGCAGATGGCATAATGGTTACATTGCTGGACTTCCATGTAATTGACCATGGTTCAAGTCCCCGACCTGGCGGCTTAAAACTCACACTGGGTGCGTGTGCAAGTGTGTGTGTGTGTGTGTGTGTGTGTGTGCCCCCAAAAATCCTGAGAGGAGAATTGAGGAAAAGGGATTGCAGCATGGCCATCCCCCCATGGCGTGATTTCTTGCTTTCCGGTTCTCTGTCTCACTTGTTAGTGATGTGCCCTATAGCAAGAAGAAAAAAAATCTCAAAAAAAAAAAATTTAAAGCAAGTAACACCTGTGGTTAATGGTTACTATCTAAGAGTGAGCTGGTCAACCCCGGATGATTATGTATTAGCACCATTTGTTAGAACATGACAAATGTAGCTGTCTTTGAATGTTAAATGTAGTGGGAAGTGTGTTTATCACATTTTATTTTATTATTAAAGTTACCTGTGTTTATTTATAATCAAGGTAACTTTGAATTCAGTAGATAAGACATTTTGCTAGCATTGTAAAAATCACTATCTTTACAAAGAGAAGCATAGCTTATTTTATCTAAAGAAATACCACTTATTTTGTTTAACAAAACTAATACAAACTGAAAGTTCAACAGACATATTTTTGTAAAGGAGAGATGATATACATGTTGATTGAAGTGGCTGCAATCCTGATTTCCCTTTAGTAATACATGTATAAAATTAGAATTGGGTCTGTAAGCCTCATCAGTTGCCTGTTTTTCCTGTGGTGCACTAACTTTATGTTGGGTTTATGAAAAATACTAACTTTATGGGTTTTTAAAATTTTTTAAATTTTTATTTATTTATTTATTTTTAACTTTATGGTTTTTTTTTTTTTTTCGAGAGGTTTTTGCTGTAGGGTGCGTGCGCTCGCCAGACAGACAGAGACATAGAGACAGAAAGCGAGAAATCACCCCCCAGAGGGGATGCTCACGCTGCAATCCCTTCTCCTCCATTCTCTCGGGATCTTGGGCACGCACGCACACGCGCCCGGCGTGAGTTTTAAGCCACTGGGTCCGCGACGCGAACCGCGGTCGACTACGTGGGAGTTCAGTGACATAGCCATTACGCTAACTGCTGGTTCCCACTTTATGTTGTTTTGATAAAATTATGTATGTTTGGATACCTGGGTTGCTTATAGCCTAAAGATTTTAGTTTAAGAAGTTCTTTTTACTTCTGCCACATTTAAGTTAGGTATGCTGTTTTGTTTTTAAGTTTGCTATAGGGTATGTGTGCTTGCTTGAGAAAGAGAGAGAGAAAGTGAGAAATCCAGGAGAGAGAGAGAAAGTGAGAAATCACCTCTCTAGGGGGCATGGCCAGGCTATGATCCTTTTTCCTCTATTCTCCTCTCTGGACTTTGGGCACGTACTGCCCTGTTGCCTAATATGGTAATTTTAAAACTGCTGAGTCTGGGACTCGAACAGCTTAGGCTGCTGTGGGATTCAACAGCCTCAAGCTCTATGCCATCTGCTGGCTCAAGTTAGGTGTTATTTATTTATTTTTTTTGGAGAGATTTTCACTGTAGGGCGCGTGCGCTCGCCAGACAGACAGAGAGACATAGAGACAGAAAGCAAGAAATCACCCCTCAGGGGGGATGGTCATGCCGCAATCCCTTCTCCTCCATTCTCCTCTTGGGATCTTGGGCACGCACACACACGCGCCCGGCGTGAGTTTTAAGCCACCGGGTCCGGGACATGAACCGCGGTCGACTACGTGGGAGTCCAGCGACATAGCCATTACGCTAACTGCTGGTTCCCAAGTTAGGTGTTATTTTTTAATGAGCATTTCTGTTGTATGCTTGTCTTTTCAGGGTTTCTGACTAAATATTGACTATAAATCTATTCTCATTCAACTTGGATGTAGTGAAATGGTAGTTTTCTTACTGAAAAGTACTCTAATTCTGTATTATAATTATTATTTTATTTCTGATAGCCACATAAAAATTGTCTTAAGATGCCTGAAACTCTTCATATAGTTAACAAGTCAAGATTTTTGATATCTTTTAAGTGAACTAAGATATTTTGGTAGAAATCTGTGTATGAAAAAAGTAATCAATTTTCAGAAATAGTTCAGGTAGGCAAAACTAGTAAAGATTCCATGTGGATGTGGGTGGTCTTTGTTCGTTAAGCCTGGTTGCTTTGTATCTTCTGAAGCCTCCTTGATTGCCTCCCCCCCCCCCTTTTTCCTCTATTGCTTATATATTAGTGCCAAAGATTGTGGTTAAAATATATGGATGATGGAGTCAGATAGTCCTGGGTTTGTGTCCAGGCCTGTCACCTACTAGCTGTGCTGACTTTTGGAAAATGACTTAATGTTTTTAAATGTCAGTTTTTTCATTTGTAAAATGGGCAAAACAGGCCACTTAATGGCCTCTCTTTATAAGGGCTGTGCAGATCAAATGCCGGTGAATGTGAGATATGGCACACACCTAAGCTAAGTTGATGTGTTTGCTCCTGCTACTGTTGTTCAGTTGTTTGAATTATTACTGGATTCATCACTTTTCACTTGAATTATCACAGTAATGTCCTCATTATTGCAGTTGTGTCCTCATATAGTCAGATTTTTAAATCTGTTTTTTATATCAGCACCAGTTAGCTTTTTAAAAATATTATTATAAGGCTCTCTGTGGCCTTCCGGATAAAGGCCAAACACCTTGTTATAGTATATGTGACTCGCTGTAAACTTCCTTTCCTGGCTTGGCTACTTACCATTTTATGTCTATACATCCTTCCTCTTTATTCCCCCTTGCTCTGGCCTCTCAGGATGTTTGGTTATCTGCAGTCTGCGTTCATGCCTTTGCTAGTGCTGTTCCCTTTGCTGTAGATACCCTTCCTCCCACTTTTTCAAGTGGCAAGTCCTGGTTCCCACTGACTGTTTGCTGTTCTCCGTGATCTTGAAGGAGTTTGATTTTGTACATGCTTCTGGCTTTCCCTCATGTGAATTTCTTGTGGTCAAGGGCTAAGTCTTAGTCATTTTTGTATCTTTATACGCTTTTAAGCTGGCAGAATTGTCAAATGAATGTTAACTGATCGTATTGAAGTGTACCTTATCTGTTCTTAGGGTTACATTTTGTAAGCTCTATTTGTGGGGGCTATATAGGAGCATCTGTGGAGTTTAACACTTTAATTCACGAGGGAACTTTAAAATACATTGGGCTGTCGGGAAAGTCATGACCATTTTTCCATAGAAAAGCATGTCATGACTTTTCCGACAACCTAATACTATACTCTTCAATGTAATATGCAGAAATTGTTGGTACGCCAAGAAGTAACAAGAGTCTTTATTATTTTAAAAGGTCAGTATGTTCTTCTACCCGTATTAAATTAATGGAATGAATCCCTTCACTCCCGTATAGTTGTAAATAGAATACTGTTATTACTTGCTAAAACATTACTTTAGGTTTTTGGTTTGCTTTTTCTTTCAATGATAATATTGAATCGAAAGTTGATATTTCAATTCAATACCTACTCTTTGAGTTGTTTGAGGAAGGAAGTGATCTGCTTTTCTGGTCTGTTCAAGTAAGTGGAATGGCTTTTTAAACATTCATTAGGAATTTCTGAACTTGGGTTTTTAATGTGTATTAAGTTGTAAGGAATCTTGCCCTTATGTCCTCTCTGAGGTTTCCACCACTCTCCTCCCTGAAGCCCATAGACAGTGCTCCTTGTCATGCCGCACACTGTCAGTTTTATGCTCAATTTAAGTTAGTATAAATGCACTTAAAAAAGTGCAAATAACTTTTTTATTTTTAATATAAATTAGTAGTAGACAGAAAAGTTTTCTTTTCTTTTTTTTTTAGAGAGATTTTTGCTCTAGGGCACATGTGGTCACCAGAGAGACAGAAAGCAATGGTCACACCACAATCCCTTCTCCTCTCAGGATTTTGGGCATGTATACACATGCGCCCGGCATGAGTTTTAAGCTGCCGAGTCCAGGACTTGAACAGCTGTCGACTACATGGGAGTCCTGTGGTGTAACTATGCTATCTGCTGGTCCTGAGGAAAGCCTTTTAATGACTTTTTAAAATGTTAAAAAACAAAAAAAAAAAACAAAACTCTACAACTCATTAAACTGTAAATAGAATTTCATACTGGATTGTGGCTAGTTCCCACCCTCTTCTTTCGGAATTTTTGAGAGGAGGAGACCTATTATGATACAGTTTTTTCCTTTGCTCTCCTCCCCTTCTTCAGTGCATTTGTCTCAGGGATGCGTTTAGAAGCTGGTGTGTTGGGAGTGAAGTACGAGAAGGAAAGATAGCTCACTTGTTTATCAGGGACATTCCATGCTTTGGGAAGGTTTTATACTGATGTGCTTCCTGTTGACTTTTGCCGTCAGCAACAGACAAGAACTCTTCACTTTCTTTTTAGTTTGTTGTTTTCCTCATTGCTTTCTAATGCCTCTTACAAGTGAGTTGCTATTAGAGCTCATGTACTTTTCTTATTAGTATCATTTATCCTTATGATAAGTAGAGTCAGTTAAAAAAGGCTCTTTACAGGAACTCAGAATATAAAGAAGTACCTCCTTAGCAGAAGTTTTTAGGAGGTGATTATGTAATATGGAAAGATTATAGGGTTTTGGAGCCAGGTGGATACTATTACTTTTGTTTATTTTAGAGATGACAGTGGGAACTGAGG